GTGGGATTTTCACAGAGGAGTGAGAGCAGTCTTCCCCTAAGGTTCCCCAGAGGTGTCTTTCCCTAAGCATCAGAGAATTTCTGAACTGGATCTTTCCTATGCTAGCAGGACATCATGTAAGCCATGATCAAGCCTTTGTGATTCCTGTTGTGCTCTTAGCTGGTGCAGTTCCTTGTCCTTCTGGCTGTGGGAAGGCAACCAAAAGAATAAGCTTAATGAACAACACTGTAACAATGTGAAAACACACCACTTAAAAAATTAATATTTCATTTTTATTCTAAAAGACAAGCAATTCCTTAAATAACATAAAACTCCAGACAAATCCTTGTCTTTTGCTTCCTCTTTGTTGTAGAACTGTGGAGGACACTAACTCTCAAGAGAAGACACATTTCAAACCTGGTCAGGAGCCTTGATGCAACCCCCTTGGGTCTGCCTCCTTTGGGCTATGGAGCGGGTGCTCCAGTGGCACTCTGGGGCTGCTGCTGCCCCTTCCTGAGCCCCAGCACCTACAGGTCTGCCCTCCCTCTCTTTAGCAATGGGCTCTATTAGATAAGGTGAGATGGGCCAGAAAAGGGGGGCATTAAGAAACCAGCTTGACACTGATATCAGTGCAGTGGGGGGGCCTGGCACTGAAAAAAAGACAGTTTTCAGGGTCATATCACCAGAAAGAGTGCTCACAATTTGGAGATGATGGCACTGGTTTGTGTTGTTCTGATGCCATTGGGAACTATTATTTAGGGGAAGCTGGCAACCATATTTTGTTTCCTATTCATTCTGCTGGATCATATCTATCCAACCTCAGCTGTATTTGTGTAAATATGTGTATATACATTTGCATACATTGGAATATCATTTTCCCATATGCTATTCTTAGATGTCTGAATGAATTGAAGAAAAAGAACTAATACAGAATTAACAAGGAGTTTTAAGATTGTTTTCTCTGTGTGTATTTAAACCATGGAGAAATAATTGCTTAGTTGAAAGGTGTACAGGGATTATTGTAATCTACAGTTGTGTCTCTGCTGGCATACCAATATAGATGAGGCAAGACATGTGATGAGGAGCATTAAAAGAAATTATAGTGTAAAAAGGATTATAAAATATTCTTTAGAGATCTGAAGACCTTAACTGAGGAAAAAGGGTCTGGTTTTCTTACTCAAAACTTCTTGACTTCCTTTCTGATGTTTTTAATGTCTGGTTTTTTTTTTCCCCAAAGTTTGACATATTTGGAGTTTTTGTGAATGTGATCCCTCTTCCTCTCTAGGGTTGTCATATGTTCAAAGTGAAATATTTTTATGCCCACAACTCATTAGTAGTAGAATCTGGAAAGTTAGGCCTCTGTTTCGTAGTTCTCAGTTAGAAAGAAAGGGCAGTAGTAATCTGAAAAAAAAATGAGTCAAGTATTTTTAGTTTGGATGCTTGGAAAATCATTATCATTGTGGCAATACTGAAGGATTTTATACTGGCTGAGCTTACACTGAAATTTCCTGTATGTATCCAAAATACTGACAAAGAACATAGGTGCATATGAGAGTTACCCCCCAAAATGTTTCTAATTCAGCATTTTTGTTTATGGAGTTTGGAGATTTTCACTTTTTCCCCCCCACTAACAACAGTATTTCGGCTACATTCTCTTGGACTGAAAATACTTTATTTCTATGCACCTCAGGTAAAGATGCTCTTAATCTTAATAGTTATCTTAATAGTTCTCACTTCCTTAAATGCCATTCTGAGAAATTTTTGTACCTACCTAGAGATCTGCTAAGTCACTGTATGAGTTTGAGAAATCAAATCCTCAAAGGCAGAGATTTGCAAAAATTTTGGACCTTCACTTTTCTCTTGGCAGGGCCCTGCTACTAGAGCAGGATCTCCTGTTAGTAAAAGGAGAGACGATTGGATCTGGTTTGTGCTCAGCTCACTAAAGAAAGGATCCAGATCTGGAAACAAAGTGTGACTTTTATTCTTCTTCTGAGCTTGAAGTTTAGGGTTGTTTTGATTCAAAGGGCTTGATTTGGCTGCTCCTAGGCTTTATAAACAATATTAGCTGGTAGGTTGGACCTAATTGTTTCCTCATACTCTCTACCTTGAGCACACTCAGGACAATGTGAATTCCCTTCCCCATAATGGGAATATATCAATAAACACTATCAGGATCCATGAGCTGACTGATTACCCAGAGTGTGAGAAAAGGGTGAACATGCTTTCCTCATAATCCATAATCCATAGGCATCAGAATCTCTGATATCCAAAAATCCATAGGCATCAGTATCTCTGTTTGGTTGCTTCCCCAGAGGCCACTGATACTCTCAAAAGGAGTGTTAGCATATGCAGCAGTTGTTATTTTGGCAGTAGTTAATGGTCAGCAGGCAACATTTACCTGAGCTTAAAATGTGAAGTTTACGTTGGGGATTTTGGAGGGGTGTAAACGAGTTAGCCAATATCTGAAATTTGATGAGAGCTTTGTGCCAATGCTCCTTATGCTTCCTTGAAAGTTCCAGGTTAGTTTACATCATTCTGGCCTCCTGGGCCAGCACGGTGATGAATCACTGTGAGAAACCAGACAGAGTTGCTGATAGGATTTCCACAGAAACCCACGTTGAGGAAATATATGCATAGTTTCCTCTGTGGCTATGTTGCCCACTTTTTAGGAGGAAAAAAAATCTGGGGCACATTTTGACTTGATACTGAGCATATGCTGGCACGGCTGGAAATGTTTTTATATCTACGATGCTAAATAAAGATGCTCACTTGAGCATTTTGTTTTGGCTGAGTCTGCCCTTTCAGGATGCATGTGTAACCTCTTTGTGAATTACTGAAATAAAGGAATTGCCTAATGCAAAAGAGAAATTCCACAAATATGAAACCCTTGGAATGTTTTCTACATCAGCCATTTCCTTTTTCGCTTGTGCAATGTGTATGGATTGTCAGCCTGATGTGGTGTGTGGTAACCAATGTGTGCAGGAGGCTATTAATCTTCTTGTTATAGCACTGTGGTAATGTAAGATTTGGGGGAGCAGTGGAATTCTGTTCAAACACTCTCAGCTTGTACTTGTCTGCCTCTATGAATCCTTTATATGCACTCACAAACCTGAATCTACTTCCTATATTTGTCAGCAGGTTCACCCTTTCCTCACACTCTGGGTAATCAGTCAGCTCATGGATCTTGATAGTGTTTATTGATATATTCCCATTATGGGGAAGGGAATTCACATTGTCCTGAGTGTGCTCAAGGTAGAGTGTATGAGGAAACAATTAGGTCTGACCTACTAGCTGTGGGATTAATATGCCTGAGGGCATGTGTTGTAATTGTTGTAATGTAGGTTTTGTGTTTGTTCATTTATATATCAAAATTTCATTCTCCAACAACTTGCCAGACAGTGAAGCTTGCAGAATAAAGATTTGTTATACTGCAGTTAAGTTTAAATAAGTGCTGAGCCAAAAAGGAGAGAAGTCTTAAAGGCAAAAACATTGGAAGAAAAGTGATTTATTAAACTTTTTATTTCCACTGTCTTTGCAATTATAAGCTATCACATTGTATAGAGTTTTTTCCCTACAATGCTAATACTCCCTCTGGTATATGTAGAGTATGGTTTTTTTTTTCTACAGTGTTTAAAGTCTGAGGCTTTTAGCAGTTTAATCCAAACCAAAGCATCTATATCATGGGACTTGCCTTTAATTCTCTCTTAGATGCTTTTTTCCCTGTATGCCAAATTAGATATCATTCTGAAGGCTTTCTTAATTAACATTTTTTTAATCAATGACTGGATTCTCAGGAGGATTTTTTTTCTATGCATCATTATTTTTCTCTTTCCCCAGTAACTTCACAAGCAAATTAAGTAAACAGAAAGAAACACTTTGTGGATTTTTCTTGTGACAGCCTGCAAACCTGTGAAGTTTTTTTTTTATTTTTAAGTTGAAGCTGCTAATTGTAGAACTGTATAATTAATGCATTATCCACGACAACAAGGTTACATGATTTGTGTTTAGCAAACATGCTTTTTCTGGAGGGTGGAAAGATACATAGTGAAAGCTTATGGAAACACTAAGCTGTTTCTCACCACTTTGCATGACAGCCAGTCTCTCAACCATCATTAGAGCTGCTTGCCCAACCAGACTCTGAAAGATACCCTGAAAATTGGCTGGAGCTCTGCTACCACCATCTGAGTCCACAGCTTGAACCTGGCTGTTTAGCCTTCCAAGATTTGCCATTACAGGCAGATATTCTCAGAACTGGAATGTTTGCTCTGCTAATTGGCACATTCCTACTTAGATTTGGTAGGACATGCTGATTTGTAACATGACTCAAGAATTTACTTCTTAATGGGTAGTTGCTTCAACTTTCCCAAATCTTTCTGTTTACCAGCCTCCTTTCTTTATTGTGCCTGTCTACTTTCAGCGTTTGTAATCTTCTTTTATTAGCTAGACATCCTTCTGATTATTTCACATGTTTTTCACTGGTTTGAGAATTTCTCTGCTCCCTGACCTTTTCATAAATCAAGTATGTGTTGGCAGGTGCTGGAAGTGATGGAATGATTTCCTTATAGCTTGCAGCAGTTGATGTTGTATCAATGCTGACTTTGTTATTGCAGTCATAGAAACATTTTTAACAAATTGGATGATGCTTTGTGTATTCAGAATTCAAATGCAGTATGTCTAGAGACTTGTCTGCAAACTGAACACTTGGGAGCCCCAGAAATAGTGTGACCCCTTCCAACATGAAAATTAGAAGCTGTGTCATGACTTACACAAGTCTTAATGCATCTCCCAGTACAAAAAATGGTTGTAAATACGATAGATTTGACTGAATTGGTATTTTTGGCAACTTGTGTTCACGTCATTTTTGCCCCCTCACTCCTGATCATTTAATTCTCTTGATTTTAAACTTTTAGTGAAAGGAAAATCATATTGCTATTTTGGGATGAGTTTTGCAGTTATTGCCATTATCATTATGTGTTTACTGATGTCTGAGTGTTGGTGAAACTATTGTGTCTCTCTTCCAGATTGAAATATCTGAGGACCCTTCTGCTCTCAGGTAAAATTTTCACTGGGTTTGTGCTTCCCATGCCTCTGTGAAAGTGCTGAAAACTCTACAGCTGGCTTTGAAAGCAGTGAGTTTTTTGTCTTGTCTAACGATTTTCTAATGTTTAATTTGATCAGCTTTTGCCAGAGTGACTTACCTGGTGCACCAACCTGAGTGTCTGTTCACCAGCAGTTAAAATGTGTGCAGGGAGCCACTGAGTAGCACTGTGGGAGAAGGGAAAGCCTGCTCTGCTCCCTGCCTAGGATTGCATGTCTATAATTCATTGCCTTTGAAAACTGTCTTATCACAGCATCGACTCCTTAGTGGTTTAATGCAGGATAAGCTTATTAGAGATAATCTGTTTACTGAATGTCCTTACCACAAAGCAATCTAGTTAACGACATCTTTTGAAGCTTTGTCTTCTGGATATATCTTTGAAACTGATCCTCGATTATTTATCTGTATCTGTATCTTTAGATCCTTTTCTTTAGACTTGTATCTGCTTTGGCATGAAATTACAGTGTCTGGTGAATACACTGATAAACTAATTACTCTTGTGGGGAAATAAGGCAAACCAACACCATAATGAGCTAGTGAGGGCAAATAATTCAGTCTGTTCATGGTTCTTTAGGCTTAAAAATAATTTTCTGTATTAAAGGAGTAAAACTTTTCTAAAGAGCTACACTTCCACCAAATGTTGCCACAGTCTCCACAGTGATCATCACACAGCAATTTGGATGTCCGGATGTTTTCCATCCAACATGCTGTCCTCCTTGAAATCTGGACCACTGCTTAAGATGTATAGAAGAGGAAATGTAACCTTGCAATTCATCCTCAAATGGTATCTTGGAAAATACCTACAAGCCATTGTATTAAAAAAGACAGGATGAGGAAAGAGCATTACAAAAGAAATGCTGAAGAATGAAAGATGAAAGCGGTGAGAAATGTAATATAGTGAGCCCATTTTACCTTTGGATCTTTCTGACTGTTGGGAACTGCTCAATGCAGTTCTGCCTTGATAGTTCAAAATACTCTACATGTCTCACCTGACACAAAAGCAACTGCACCAGTTACTGAAGAAGGCAATGTTAGTGTGAATAGTGCATGGGACCCGTTGTGCTTCCTCTTTTCTCATGGAGTTTAGGTGCCTTAAAAACAGAACTACAAATTATCAAGTAGCCTTTTCCCTTCATAGGAAAGAGAATCTCAAACTTATCAATAAAAACAGTGTTTGAGTGTCTTAAGAAATTGTTTTCTGCAAAAAACCCCAAGTTTGAGACATACAGATAACTGCTGACAGTTTTGTGATAAAGCTTTAAAGTGAATGTGACTGTTTCAAAACCTGTTTTATACACTCTGTACTTCTTGCTTAACTGATCCTTCTGTTGTTGAGGAAGCCTGGATGCCAAGGATCTAACCAACCTGTCTGAAACCTCCTGAGGCAATCACAGATTTATATTCTACGCTCAGACTAATTTTGCCTCAGTGATTACTGTATTTGGTCAGGTCTTAGCAAGGGCTGTAGTTGGAGGAAATTGTATCTCAGGTGCAAGGCATACTAGATAATGCAAACTTGAATATTGTCTTGTAGGCAAAAACCTAGCACCTTGTCAAAAAGAGTTTTTATTTTGGATCTTCCTAATCTTCTTTCCTTTTTCTTGGCATTATTAGATACATGCACAAAAGCAGGTACAAGAGAGATTAGCCTGGAGTGTACACACAATACATGTGTACCAAAGTGCTATTATTTCAGATAGTGTTCACAAACTTAATAGTGAGGGCTTTCAATAGGAGTGACTTCGTAACATTGTAGGCAAATTCCACAAAGTTCATTCTTTGTAGTGGAAAATATACTCATTACAAGGGTGCCAAAACTTTTGTGTACACCAAGAGGAAAAAAAAAAGAAAGAGAGAGAAAATAAACACTTCCTTGCCAATGTTTTTAGAAATATAATACCCATTCTTTCTGGTGTGGACTGAACACTGCTAGCCCAGTTAGAATACGGTTGCTACGTGCTGCAGGAAAGTGGAGAAGTGTTTCCTTGCAAGCACTTTAAAGCTACTATTGAGTTTCTGTGAGTCCAGAGAAATCTAGTACCTCCAGCCTGTAAAACAAGCTTCTCTATTTGGCCTCATTAATGTTTAGTCTGTTTTTTCTTGGCAAAAGCACTTCAGTGACGGTCTCCACCAGATTGACACTAAAGTGTTTTCTTTACTTGCCATCTGTCTGGACTGATTGGAAAAAGTAAAGTGGGGCTTGTTTAGAAAAATATATAAGCAGTTCATTTGGCACAAAGTTTGTTATAGATGTATGAAAAGCAGCTGGGTTCAGCTCAGGAGGTTAAAAAAAAAAGTTTTATTACAGAGAGATGACTTTTCATGTACAAGTTCATGCACTAGATGTATTCTTTCATTTAGCTTGCAAGAAGTGACTAAATAAATTAGCTATGGCATTTAATTAATTTTATTTGTGTTTTACCAAGCCACTTATAATATTATGTGTGAACAGGAATCTAGTGTTTCAAATGCCAGTCAGTTGCAAGTACATTTAAAAGCAGCAGAAAAGATGTGAAAGCTTCTTAAATACTTTCTTCCACCTTAATTCAGCAAAGGACTTAAATACATCAAAGTCTGGTGTTTTACTGGATTGATTCTGGTTTTTTTACAGGTTTGTCTGACAGACTTGCAGCTTTATAGCTATCTTTTTTTTGACATGGTGAAGATTTGGCTAAAGATAGCTTAGAATAGTAATGAAACCCTGTTCACGTGAATGCTTTCTCTGAATATGTTTCTGTGTGTGTCTATGAGGATGTGTATGGACAGAGAGCATAAGCATGGTCACATGGTGCTTTTTTCTCCAGCTGTGTCCATTGCTCAGCTTCACCCCTATTAGTATTCCAAATCCATTATGGTTAGAGGTCAGATTCAGTCTTTAAACTAGTTATGTTTGGCCCAGTCTTTTTCCCCCTTCTTCTCTGAAATATCCATAGTTGGCTTTTGCTGTGTTCTTATTATGAGACTTACTCTCTTCATTATTGGCTGAGCCTCTGCCATGGTGAATGTGAAGCTGAGAAAAAGCCATTTTTCTATGATTTCTGAAAAAAGGAGGCTGAATTTTAATAGCAAAAAAAAATAGGAAAACAAAAATTCTTTCTACTTTCTGAGGAATGTTAAACCCTGGCAGAAATTGTGTGCTGTGTTATTGCAATGCTTCTGCTTGATCACAGCTCTCTCTGTATTGTTTCTTGTAAAAATTAATCAGTTTTAGGAGGGAAATTATTTTTCAGGCTCTCGGGTAGGAGGGATCAAACCTCAGTCTTCTGTATTTCCAGTTCTGAGGACTGTGTATTTGTTATTGATAATTTAGAGTACATAATCATCACAGCAGAATTATCAAAAGGAGAATTTATTTCCCTCAGGTTAAAATTCTAATGTTGCATCAGAGCTAAAAGCTAGTCCAGTTTCTGATTCCAGAAACTAAAGAAAACAAGTTATGCTCTGCTGAACCACAACTTTGCTTTGTCTGTGTTTCATAATCATGGACAAACATAACTGTAACCATCTGAATGAGTTTTTAAATTTCAGAGCCTCTGAAATTTCACATTTGTGTACACACTCGTTAACATCTTTAACTGAATTAGGAATATTTTGCACTGGTTTAATGTTTTTCTCTTCTGAGATTCCATTTTTGGAGGCATTACTTGTGTTGAGTGCTAATTCCTGACTTAAATATGTACTGCTCAGGCCTCATGGATTAGGTCTCATCTATTACTGGACAAGAATTTTCCTTGGTTGTGCATGTTTAACATTTCTTCTGTAACACAGGAAGGCTGAAGACTGACCATGGTCTATCTTTGGTTTTCTGAATTGGGAAGTATAGAGTGGTAAGGTGAAGTTCAGCAGTCCCCTTCTGATAGGAAGACTGAGGCAGCAAATGATGCACCTGGAAATTCCTTGGGAATAGGTGAATGTTTTCATTCATGATTTCAGGTACTCAACCCCGTTAGACACTATCAGCCAACTAACTAGAGAGAGTTGTATGGGAATTATTGGCATAGGCTGTACCTGAATCTCCTCTGTGGCTGGATTTGCAGGTGTGATTTTTGCAAATTCTGTTGTCCAAAACCAGATGCAGCTGCTTTGATACTTGCCAATAGCTTGATATTTTTTTCTCTTGAGACTTTCATTAACATAAAATTATTTTTGCCACTGTGTTTGTTTTGAGCATCTGTTCTACATGACATGTTTACTTTGTCTCATCTCTGTGGCATGTTCCCACTCAGTATTTTTCAAATGTTGTCTGCTGGGTTGGATGATTCATTTTTTTGCTGGACGTTATTAGCTCAATTTACAACTTTCACTACTGTTTGTTTTCAGTTCTAATGTAGAGGTTTATTCTTCCTTTCTTCATTAAAATTATTACTTTCAGTACATCATGTCTTTACAGATGAGTCAGTTAACTTGCCTAGATGGAGAGGCTAATTTTTATTGAAATTTTATGTGCCCATATGGCACTTGATTTGTCTTTGTTATAGTTGTTTTCTGCTGTTGTAGTTATACTACTGGCAGTAGAAATATATTTATATAAAATTTATATAACAGCCCTTTAGTACTGATGATACATACTAAGATAATACAACATCTTTTATACATATGGTAGGACAGGAAGGTGTATATAGAACACTGATGGTCTGTTCTGTGTGCCAAGAACCCCCATACTATAAACTGGAATAGGTTCAGCAAAGTTACTCTGATTTACCAATTCAAAAGATCTTGCCACTGTACTTTCATATTTGTAAATCTAACTAGTTTCATAGAGGAATCTGCAGAAATATACACCTCATTCACTCAGTGTTATTTGTCACTGAGCAGTAATAACATTGCTGCCTCTTTACACAAGCTATTGATTGATACTGGTACTTTTTGTGTATTGATAAACTAGCTTTGACTACACATAGGAATTCCTTATAATAAAAAGGATATCATGAAAACACAAACCATACCAAACCAGATAAATACAAAGGAAGTGATTGATTAGAGGGGTAATCATGTGTGCTTTCATTTCAGAGCAGAGACAAATTA